CACCCGGCCACCAAAAGTATTGATTTAGGCGTCCTGCTTAATTCCCTAATCAGGAATTGATAATAATAACGGCCCCAGCATGGTTCATGTTGAAGGAGTCCCGATAAAACAAATCCCACTTCTCCCACTCTTGTCTCTGAGCCTCATTTATCTGTCTTATCTGATTTGCCCTGTGTCAATTTGCATGTAGCTTGGTACTTAGTAGAGTTTATGACCTTTTGAGGTTTTTCATTCGTTCATGGGACATAGCTGTTTGCTCCATTCGTAATTACCCGGAAGGCAGTGAAGAGTCGACCACATTACAGTGCATCTGAAGTCACATGCCGGCCAGACCGGGTAATATGGTAGTTCCTTCCCTAAAGGAAATTAGTGAACTGGATGGGTTTTTGTGATAATTAACAATGGTTTATAACACTTGCCTACTTTGGTGCCTAGCTTCTCATACTGACTATGTAGAATCTTTTTGTTTGTTCTATTTATGTCATTGGTATCTACGTGGACCATGATGACTAGGTCCTCCCTGTCCCACTGAGTTCCTCTCTAGCCCTGTGCAGATGACCCCAACCCTGACATGTGGCAAGCAACACAGTTGTCAGGTTAGCATTCTCTGTGGAGAACAACGGCAATCTCTCTTCTTGTACTGTTTTTCTACTACCTCGACATTCCTCCTTATAGGAAGCCACTCAAGATTGAGCAGTAATATGGTGCTATGGTTAGTTTACATATGTCCCCAAACTCTGAATACAGCTTAGTTTTATATTTGCACAAAGAATCCAGGTAACTTTACCCATCCCTGATTCCTTAGCATCTTTAGTTCAACCTCCAGCTCATACTTCAAATATTTGCTGCAAGCACTCTTGCTCAGGACCAAGCTGGTATCCAGGAGCCCTCCGAATACTGCAGCTGTGATTCACAGGCTGTCTTGGTGCATTTAATGTGTTTTTATGAATGAACTAATTACTTTATTCAACTTTGTTTACTTGTATCTTATTAAACTTGCCACCAACTGCTATTAACATTTATTCTATTTCGAAGCTTCGTAACAGTAATCACTTATTGGGTACTCATCAATTAACCATCTGCTTCCCCTTAGCAGAGTAAAAATTGACAGCTTCATGTTATCATTACTCAAACTGGCATTATATTATAGATTTAGTAATTTAATTTAAATTCCTCTAGCTGCCATGGTGAGATTTGAGCCTGTGTCCCTAGAGCATTAGGCTGGGCCACTGAATTATTAGACCAGTGATATTACCACTATACTAACATCTTCCCTATTTGTAATGATTTATTTGTACAGACTTCTCCCATTTGTGCCAAAATGGATTAGAGTGCTGCGCTAAAGCTAAAGCAATTTGCTTCTGTGCCCTAATATCCTATGATATTTGAAATGAAACCTAATTGTTAGTGTAATAAAACAAAGAACTGCAGAGGCTGGAAATCTGAAACAAAAACAAATTGCTGGAAAAACTCAGGGCTGCAGCACCTGTAGAGAGAAAGTAGAATCCAGTGACCCTCCTTTTGGAGCTGATAATAACTAGGAAAAGGTGGTATATATGTTGAAGACAATGGGCATGTGGGGCAGAGATGGAACCCGGAGAAAGAACAAACAACAGCTGGGGAGACTTAAGGATGAATGATAGCATGTCAGGTGAAAGAAAAGCTGATAATGAGGACTGTAAATGATGAAAATAGGCTGGCTGTGTTGAAAGCAGCCCATTTCATTGACAGGGCCTGGTGTGGGAGATCGGTAAAGGACGTGGAAGAAGGTTTTTGGGTTCTAAAATTAGTGAACTTAATATTGACTCCAGAAGGCTGCAGGGCCCCCCAAGTGCAAAGTTAGGTGCTATTCTTTCAATTTGGACTGAATTTTGCTGAAGCAGTACAGCAGGCTTAAGACACATGTTGAATCGGGAAGAGGGTGGTGTTGAATTGGCAGGCAACTGGAAGCTTGGGGTCACTTTCTGCAAATGAAATGTACATCTGTGTTTCGTCTCCTGGCGTAGGGGAGACCATTGTGAACAACGAAGACAGTCGACGAGATTGATTCAGTGAAGTGCAGGTAAATTGCTTCATCTGGAAGGATCCAAAAGGATCATAAGCAATTAGTTCTGCCACCTCCAATGGTATGCCCCCACCAGACAGATTCCATTGCCCTCCCTTATCAGCAGGGAGTGTTCCCTCCAGGACCCAATGATCCATTCCTTTTCTACTCCCAACACCTCCCCACACACCCATGGCACATTCTCGTGTAACTACAGAAGGTCAGACTTCACTTATGTCCTCCCTGTTCACTATCTAAGGCTGCAGACACCCCTTCCAGTTGAAGCCATAATTTACCTGCAGTTCACTCCATCTTGTCTACAGTAATCACTGCTTACGATGTGGTCCCCTCTACAATGGGGACACCAAACACAGACTAGATAACTGTGGAATACCTACATCCCATCTGCAAAAATGACCCTAAACTTCAAGTTGCCTTCCACTTCAACACGCTACTAAATTCCCTGGCTAACATTTCTGTCTTGAACCTACTGTGGCGCTCAAGCGAAGCGTAGCGTAAGTTGGAAGTACAATGTCTCAAGGCCCCTGAACTTGACTTGTTAACTGTTTTCTCTTCGCAGATAATTTGTAGTGGTTTACCAAAACTTCACAACTGATAATGACACAGGAATAATGTCACTGAACTCCTAATCCGGAAACATGGGTTCAAATTCCATCATGGTGGCTGGAATTTAAATTCAACAAATTAATCTGGAATAACAGTGTGGAGCTGGAGGAACACAGCAGGCCAGGCAGCATCAAAGGAGCAGGAAAGCTGACGTTTCGGCTCGGGACCCTTCAGAAAGAACCCGAAATGAAACGTCAGTGTTGCTGCTCCTCTGCTGCCTAGCCTGCTGTGTTCCTCCAGCTCCACACTGTTATCTCAGACTCCAGCATCAGCAGTTCTTACTATCTCTAAATTAATCTAGAAGCTTGTCTCAGTAATAGTGATCGTGAAACTGTCGTTGTTTTGGTTCATGACTAACCTTTACCTGGTCAGGCCCAAATGTTATCCATAGCCACAGCAATGTATTTGACTCAGTTTTCCTCTGAAATGACCTGCCAAGCAATTGAAGATGGGCAACAGATGCTGGCCTTGCCATATCCTTATGCAAGAATAAAAAGAGAGCTGATGCATTATGGATGTTTGTTAGTTTGCATGCTAAATCTGGATAAATGAATTTAGGTCACAGCAGTTAGCAGTTTAAATTACACATTTAGGAATGACGTTGTGTTTGAAATCCAACATAGAATTGTGAAAAAAGAATATGCACTTAGGATTTTTCAGTTTTCAGTGCAAGCGTTCAAGGCTGCCTTCTAAAGCCAGGTACTCGTCTTGAGGGCAGGAGATTTACTTTTGGGTGTGTAGTACTAAGCCATGAAGCAAAATTGGAGGTCTGGGGCTAGGTCTCCAGTTTGACTGAGAAACATTGTCCAAATAGGCTTGAGAAATGGAAATGAGAACAACAAATTTTGAACATTTTGTACAGCATTTTACATCTTGAGTGACTTTGTAATTTCTTTCCAGTCACCCGCCTCTGAATGTTTTGGAGCAGGCCACAATTAAGCAGTGTGTGGTGGGACCAAACCATGCAGCGTTTCTCCTAGAGGTAGTGTATGTTTATTAAAATTGTTTATTAAATGATTAAATCAATAATAGTTCTCTACAGTCATATCTTGTAATTGAATCTTCATTTTTAAATATTATGGTGTATTCTTCAAAGGGGTAAAGAATCAAGTATAAAAGTGATACATCTATTGTCAAATGTCACTAAAAATGAAATTTGTTTGCAATAACCAGGAAAATCGATTTTCAGTCATAATTTGGCATAAAGGGAAATGTTTTGAGCAGCTTATATGCAGTATAATAAATTTCTTTAAGATGAGCTTTGTTTTTTTTCTGTGGTTTGGGAGCTTAATTTTGTGACATCCTTTTTTTAAAGTGAAAATCATAAATTATTGTCTTGATTAACCAGTTCTTTTAGCTTTACCACCGTTTATAGCATGTTGTTTACGTTGCACAACAATAAGAGCCAAGACCATAAACTAAGGGGATGCTGTGGCCTAGTGGTATTATCACTGGACTGTCAATCCAAACACCCATGTAATGTTCTGGGGTCCCGAGTTCCAATCCTGCCATGGTAGATGGTGGAATTTGAATCCAATTAAAAGAAGAAAAATTGTAAAGTCTAATGATGACCGTGAATCCATTGATTGTTGGAAAAACTCCTGTGTTCACTAATGTCCTTTAGGGAAGGAAACTGCCATCCTTACCTGGTCTGGCCTACATGTGACTCCAGACCCACAACAATGTGGTTGACTCTGAACTGACCTCTAGGCAATTAGGGATGGCAATAAATGCTAGCCTGTGACACCCTTATTCTGTGAAAGAGTTTTCCAAAACAAAAATCAGATAGTTGATTGCTTCAACAAAGAGCTTGCTAGGAGACACAGCTAGTTCATACCATGTATTTAGACAAATCTTACTGGACTAAACCTAAATTCAGAGCAAAAAGCAGCTGTATCTGGACCTTTTAACTATTAGTGTCAACAGATCATATATGATTGGAATTTTTTCGCATTCACTGCACTGCCAAGAAAATACCTCCCAGTGTGCTTGGCCTCATCAGTTCTTTTCATATGCTGTCCCTTGGCAAAAACATTCAGAAGTACCTTGTCAGGTTTCACATGTATGGTGACTCTCCTGATTGATTCTTTGCTGATTATGCTGCTGCAAATTTCATGACATTGTTATGTCACTTATTATTTCTTAATCTTCCATACTATTTCATATCTTGCATACTGTTTTCTATTTGAACCATCTGTAGTCTACCTATTTACATTGGCCCTTTTATAATAGAGTTCAATCTTCCGGGTTCTTGTCTACATTCTCCTATGGCTTTAGTATATTCCTTGTGTATTTTGATGGCTTGAACTTGAGTGAAACAGGAAGCAAAGTTAGGAGTTATTAGTACTTCTAGGGACAGACCATCAGTGTTCCCCATAAACATTTCCAGTACTCATAGCCTGTGCCTTTTAACATACATCATGTTTATATTCTTTTGAATTTCTATGCTTGAGTTTTCTCAAAGGGGCAACTTCAGAGCACCCTGTGAAGGCTGGGTTTCTGTGCAGCCACACATTTGCTGCTTAAAGGGCATATTAATGACAACCTTGTGCCACACAACTGTGGGCTGTTGGTTGAGCATCTTTTTGTTCAGGTTGTCTGACTGCATTTGGGATAGTTACTATATGGATTGTAAAGAAAAATATATGTAGTGCGTTTTCTCCAAGAATCCTTGGACTACTTCGGCTGTGTGCTGCTAATATTAACCTCCATATTCCAGGAAGGAAACAGTTTGTTTTATTAGGAAAAAACCACCAGCTTACTGCTTTATGCTATTAAATGGCCTTTGTATGTTGAGCAGAATTGGGCTGGAATATTTATGGTTCAAGCATTGCTAGAGTGGATGGTCCTTTTCAGTAGTTCAAATTTTTGAAGGCAAGGAAAATACCTCGGTGCATTTTGCATCCTTCTGATGAACAGGAGGAAAATGTGTTTGTGTTAATGGCTCCGAGTCTGTGGGACTGGAAAGAGAGGGGATGTAGACCATGAACCAACTTTGTAAATAGGAGGGAGAATTGTTTGACTCAGCTGAGTGATGATACTTGTTGTGTAACTTGAGCAGTGTTTATTTTCATAGGTAATTATTCTGATTTGCTTTGCCGTGGAGTGTGTCACACGACAAATGTGTAATGAGAAAATTTGTTGTGTTAAGGTCAGTGGTGGAACTTTTCAGTAGGCCAGCTTTGCCAATGTCTGTACGTAACTAAAACCGTTTCTGACTGGGAGCCTATATCTGAAGGTGCAGTGGATAAATTAAACGAGTATCAATGGAATCTGTAGAGCAGGGCTTCCCAAAGTGCGGTCAGGATCTCAAGTGGGGTTGAGGGCTAAAATTCTGGGGGCATGAATTGAGGCAGTAGTGGCATAGCATGAAACTCCAACTGAGATAACAGCTGTGTGCTCTGTCTAACAGACCAATTGGAGGGTCTGTTTTACATTGTTGCAATGAAAGTTAGGTTTGGAATGGATAGTACATTTTATGTTTAAAGGATTGACATCATTTTTGTTATTTTCTATTGTTGGAAATTGGGTGTTGGCAAGGGTGAATGCAGAGATTTGTAATGTCATCTGAAAACAAATCTAGTACAGTTGTTTTAATGGGTACCTTATGAACTGGCACTTTTGATAAACTGGTGAAAATTGTATACCTCCAACTGGAAGTATACTGTATTATCACTATCTCTGAGTAGTCAGTTGAAGGTGCGAGTCTGTCTGCCGGTAAGTTTGTTTTTTTTTATTATTTAAGGCAAAGTTGCACTATTTAAGTGATTTATGCTGTAACTTAAGTATAACATGGATATGTATGCCCCCTGCATTACATTTCCATTACTTAGTGTATACATTGATTATGTGGATCTCTTGATCAACTGGCACACTTCTGGTCCCATTGCAGTTAATAAACAGTTTGCTGTATTAAGTAAGAGATTGGCTTCTGAATGAGTTAGAATGGCACCAGGACTAGCAAGAGATCAGTGAATCTTGCTGTAAAAACTAAATATTGATTTATTTTTGCATAAAAATGATAAGTTTTGATTTTATAATTACCGCTCAGCTTGAGTGAATTTTAGTTCCTCTTCAAGAGGCAGGAGAATGCATGAATATAATTCTGCTAGTAGGTATTTATAGTAAAGGGCCTATATTTGTGTTTTCCTAGGTGAATGCTGCAGTCAACAAGATTTGGATTTACAGGGAATATGAACATTCAGTAGACACCCCAGGTCCCCCAATCTCAGAGCTCTGCAATCGTTAGCCATTAAATAATATGCAATTTCACAATTTCCCACTTAATACCCCATTTGCCAGATCTCTTGCACTCACTTAACAAATGTTTTTGTGGCCTTCTTGCGTCCTCTTCACCACCTGCTTGCTTGAGCATGTTGTATTTTATTCCACTCGGCCACGTCCTTAATATAGACTGAAGATAGGTGATAGTTAGACAGTTTAGTTATGATTTACTCAGGTAACTAATCATTTAAAATAGCCATCTATTGAAGTGAAAGAAAGTGAGCACTAATCAGAGAGCAACAGTTTTTATTTAATAAGAAATCGCTTTTAAAAACTACTTGAGACATGAATTTTAAAATATCCGGTTTTCCCAAAAAGTGTAGACGTCCTGGGTTGCTGGCTCTTGGGTGATCCCCACCCTGATGCCCTTTCGAGGGATGATTCTTCATGTGAATCTATGCTGTGTCTCAGCAAATTATTTCTCTAGATGGCGATCAGATCTTGACTCAAATTCAGTCTTTCAGCTTCTATTCATATGCACTTCCCTGTGGTTTCTCCCTGTCTACTTCAGAGGCAGGTGTTATAGCATTCCTGCTACTAGGCTGAAATTAATCAACGAAGAATACAACCTGGTTATCTTGTTTGGTCCTTTTCATTGTTGAATATGTGCATTATAGCTGTTCAATAGGCAGAGGTGAGCTTACAATATTTTTATTGAAATCTTATTTACTGATCCTATTCTTGATGAGCTGTGGATTTTCACTGACCCAGATAAGTGCTGAGTCTGATTCCAGAAGAGCATTTCGTAAGGGAATGGAATTAGTTTTGTTCTAGAAATCGTGAGGTGATTTTATTTTGCACTTGGGACACCAGAAGGTTATAGGTAAGCTTCGCTTTTCTGTTGACCTGTAAATTTCTTCCAAACACCTTTTAAATTTGGTCTTGGAGACATCACTCAGACCAAATCAATATATTCATTCATATCTGAAAAGTTGTGTGGACCATATTTAATGGTTTTGTCATACTCCCAATTGTTGCACTGTTTTCCATCTTGTATCAGAATGATACAGAGAAACATTTAAATTGAAATAATAGATTGTAACGCTTGCTGTGTCTTAGTAGTAAGATCAAAATAAATACCATACTATAGAGACAAGGCAGTTGTTTACCATGTAGCCTAGAGAAATTGAACTCTGAATTACTTTGTGATTTGTCATCTTGAGTTCGCCATAACTGAATAGATTTTCCATTATGGCTTATAACGCCTTCTGTCTTCACAGTATATGGTCCAGTGTAGTCTGAGCAATGTATAGGAGATCTGACTGTGTACGTTCTTTTTAAATGTGTGTTATAAAAATCATCAAAATATCCTTTCTACCTCCAGTGCAGAGAAGCTTCTTGTTGTGTAATCACCTCAAGCAGAGAATCTCAAGATGTTGTACGGAACAATTCGTCCTACTAGGTTGCTATTTCACTCTGGGTTCAGCTGGGCCACTTTTGCTAATTTTGACTTGACTGTAAATAGCAGTAAAACCATCTAAAAAACCAGACCATATAGCTGTGAAGACTAGAAGACCATAAGATAAAGGAGCTGTGTTAGGCCATGCAGCCCAGCAAGTCTACTCCGCCATTCAATTGTGGCTGATTGGTGTTTTTAAACCCCTTTTTTTCCCTGTAACCCTTGATCCTCCTGGCCAATCAAGAAACTATTTGGCTCAGTCTTAAATATACTCAAGAAGGCCTCAACAACCTTCTGTGGTAATGAGTTCAAGATTAACCACCTCTAATTCCTCCTCATCCCTTTTGCTTTTGAGGCTGTACCCTTGAGTCCTAGACTCCCGTGCTAGTGGAAACATCTCCACCTCCACCCTGTCCAGACATTTCCAAATTCTGAAACTTTTAATCAGTGAACATAAGTTGAGTGCGCGTGATCTTCCATTTAGTTTCTAGTGGGAAAGAATTCATGGCAACTTATGAGTTCTTAAATTGAGTGTTTTATTTGGTCCAGAAGATGGTTATGGGCAAAAATAAGCAGGTCAACATTGTGTGTTGGGGTATAAGGTGCAGTGTTTACAATATGTTTCACCCCCCTGCCCTGTCTTAGTAAAATGATTCTGATAACACCAGTGGATGGTTAATACTGCAGAAAACCAATTTACTTTTTGGACTATTGATGTTTTAATGGCATAATAAATTTACCATTAGTCCGGTGTTTGGCTAAAAGAGTACGTCCTGAAACAAGATTTATTTATAAAGGGCTTTGTACTCTAAACATAGTCGTCTAGTGCAGTCATTTTATAGTCTACATGTTTGAGGCAAGGTCATCTGGTTTTGAACTGCTGACATTGCTAGATTGATGCCATTAATATTGACATCACTGAATTTCATGTGCCACATGCATTCAATTGAATCTTAACTTTCTCTACTCGCCTTCCTGCCCTGGAAATGTATTGCAGTTCCTTCGCTGCTGCTGGGTCAGAATCCTGGAACTCGCTCTTCCTTACAGCACTTTGGCTATGCGGACACTAAATGAACTCCAGTGGATCACTACCACCCCCTCAAGGATAACTAGGGAGAACCAATTAATATTGGTCTAGCATGCAAAGCCCATAACTTGTGAATGAATAAGTAGGTTGTAATTATTTTACCAAATACATTAATTTATCCATTTTCACCATTATTCACCAATGAATTTTACCTTTATTTACATTTTTACACCGCTTATAAACTTATCCATTTTTGTAATATACATAAATAATTGTTTTTCATGCTGGAATGTTTTGTTTTGCCTCCCCGACTGCTTAAACATAACAGGATGGTCGCATCTGCAGAATTAGCTTTGCTGTTCAACCAGACAGATTGGAACTGGGAAAACCAGATACTAGTGAAGGGTAAGTAGTTCTGCGATCATACTCAATTTGTGATTTTAGTTTTTTTTAAAAGGCATGTATGTAACTATCTAATTCTTTGTGCGTGCAAATTCAGCACTGACATTTTTGGTGGTGATATAAATAACTTTTTATATGGGTATAACACTGAAGGGAGACAAATTGTGTAGCCATTTTCTTCACAAAGCTTTGCAGTTGAGCATTATATTTTTTGTTTAATTGACCAGATGCAGGATAATCTGGCTATAAGAGTCTGAACTTATGAGTTCTGTGTCTTGATTTAAGAAAATCTTTCTGGTCAGCTTTGAGTTTTTTGTCATAATTGTTACAGAACTAAATTAGATGATATTTTGACTAAATTTGTTTCATGAAAGATATTGTACATCCGGTTAAATTTTCAAGTGGATGTTGCAGCAATTTGATCGCCTTTGAACTTCAGCCATGATTTATCACAACATGCGTAGCTATCTTGTGTTGATTTTAAAAATGTTGGAGTAGTAGATGGATCTTTGCCACAGCCATAACCACAAAATACTGGCAATACCACTGTGCTCCAAAAACTTTGAACCAGATTAGGTTTTGATTTCTGCTGATCTGTGAAAATGAAGCATAATCAAAATAGTATTTATGCTTTCTCTTTGAAGGTTGCCTTTTCTAAAGACGGATTTCTGTCTTCAAAGGAAAAGTAAAATCATTACATCTTTAAAGATGTTCACAATGAATCAAGATTTCTAAGGCCATGGTTACATTTTTCTAATGGCACCATGATGATGAAACAATTAATGACAATGAATATCTTTTTGTATGAACAGGCATTTGAATTAAATTTAGTTAATTTTACATTTCATTCTGTCCAGCTATACTACTTTTGATTATTTTTTTCTAAAAACAGCTAAGCTTAAGCTTAACGTGACTTTAGTTGATTTTAGTTTGTAACGTTGCTCTGAGCTGGAAAGGACAAAAGCTTTCCATTTCAATGCAAAGGCTGAAATTGTTTTCATGTGTTAAATTTTTTTACTACACATGGCTGTGAGCCATGAAAAAATTTTAAAAATTAGAGTAAACATTGCAGTGCTAAAAATTGCCCAAGGGTGTTGCTCTGGCTGGTCATTGACCAGTTACAGCAAATGTAAAGTCCCTGAGCTGCAAGGCTTGGGATACCTGTGTTGTAACCCATCTCCCATCTTTGTTTCCAGTTCAAAGTTGAGCAGTGGTTCAGGCACAGGAAGGACTTCCAGGCCAGGCAGGAGTAGTGATTCCCCATGGTTTCTGTCTGGTTCTGATACTCTGGGCAGACTGGCAGGCAACCCCCTTGGGTAAGTTTTGGCAGGGTTCCAGGTCACCATGACCTATAAGTCAACCCTTCTGCCAAAAAAATATGCACTACTAGGGTGGTTAAAATTGTTTTGAAAACTGCTTGCTGTAAATTTTAGCTGTTATTTAAAGCGCATGTCATTGATGCATTCAGGAATGTGACTTATCATTCCTTGCAGCTAAAATGGGACGCTTGGTTTTCCCTTGTGTATGGGCTTTCTGCTGCTAAATGTTACTAGTGTACATTACCAATTACTTGTCAACAATTCATTTGGGTGTAGAGTGACAATTAAATGGTATTTGCACAAGCATATTCGTTTGAATTCATGAATGGGGATCTTGGTGATTGCTTTTCTAACACTGTCACACGCCTTAAGATTTGTAGAACAATAAATGTTTTTATTCTATTCATTTGGAAGCAGATGACTTGAAATGTTTACTATGCATCCATTAACAATTCCAACTGTGAAACGTTGTAAATGATCTGTGAAATGGTATTTAACATGTCTATAAAATAATGGGCATACTTGTCAATGGTGTACTAGTGTGAAAATTTCAATTGCTAAAACGTACTGTAGTTATTGAACAGTAGAAAATCCTGGGATCCTGAGAATATAACTAACAGTACACATTTGCAAAGACGAAATAGTTTGGGAGTTTTGTGAAATATCATTGGGTGTCATCTGATATATAATGCAGATTCAAACAGCTGGTTATTGTACACATTTTCTCATTACTGTAGAATCACCGGCCATCTCCGTAGCTAATCACCTGAATATTTTCTAACCGAACCAGAATTCTTTCTTAAAAATAGTCAAACAAATCTTTACCAAAGATCTGGGGCTAATTTACCTGCCAATCAGATGTCCACCAAGCATGGCCATGATTCTTTCCCACTTCCCATCTTGCAGAAATGTACACTTAGTCAGCATATTGCTTGGGGGGGGGGGAAAAATTTGATTGTTTCCCTCCCTCTGACTGCAGCCAATCTTAAAGCTGTATTATTTTGCTATTGGAATTTTCATTATCAACGTTGGCTGACAATTATTTAGCAGAGTTTAACCAAAGTTCCCCATTATTTAATGCATGTTTGAATTTCATATTTGCAGTTCATTTGTCCAGGCTATTTAAAGCACTTTTCGAAGCTGCAGTTGGCTGATGCATTACTTTAACCCTTCTACTCATTGCTATTTAAATGCTATGAAGCTTATGAGTGAATTATTATGCATAAAGTACTCCTGGAGAAGCTCTGAAGGTGATTCATACTTCGTCATCTCTCATGGTGTTTGCAGGTTTCTTGTATGAATCTTCGCATTCACTCCTTTCTAATTTAGGTTAAACTAATTTAAGCCAATTCAGTCTCCATGAATTATTCACTTAGGAGCCGTTGGAGTTCTGGAGTCAGTGGTGGAGCTTCTGGAAGATCATCCACAGGAGCAAGGGATTCAAGGAGGCAGACTAGAGTAATACGTACTGGACGGGATCGAGGATCTGGACTTCTGGGAAGCCAGCCACAACCAGTTATACCAGCGTCGGTCATTCCAGAGGAACTTATCTCTCAGGTACTGTGGTAGTATTGCCCTGGGAAAGAAAATTCATCCCATTGTGCTGAACAATGTCATTTAGCTTGTAATGGCCTTCTCTCTCTCCTTTTTAGTGTTTGGCCTATTTTAGTGTATTGCACGGTACTGTCCAAATTGCTGTTGATCGATGCAGCTAAGAGGGAATATCAGTGGTCACTGATTTGAGATATTGGCGATTTAAGTATTAAATTCCACATGAAATGAATATGGTTGAAAAGATTAGCAGTACCTTTCTAATTGTAGCTCGTGGGTCAGTTACTTCAATTGGCTGGATGGCTGGTTTGTAATGCAGTGTGATGCCAACAGCATGGGTTCAATTCCTGCACTGACTGGGGTTACCAAAAAGGACTCTCCTTAACCTCTTCCCTCACCTGCGGAGCGGTGACCCTCAGATTAAACCACTGGTTTTCTCACTAATGAGAGAGCAACCCTATGGTCTGGTAAGACTATGGCAGTTTTTCACTAATGATGAAGTTTCATGGTTAGATTTGAATCAAAGTCAAAATGTGATGCAAAATAATTTCAATAGTTTATTTCCTACTTGGGTTTAGTATTTTAAAATGCATTTTGTGCGTATTGCATATATAAATTTATAAATTGGCTACCTCATTCCTCTAATAGTTGGGTTTGGATATTGTCGACATGAGGTTGTGATGCAAATATGCTAAATACTAGGCACTTGAATTGGGTAAGTAAGTAACAATTATTTTTAGAGATTGACCCTGTAATCCTAGTAAGGGTCAAAGATGTAGCACTTGATATATTCTTATGACTTATGTGTTTTTGTCATTGACTTAACTGCAATCTACATGCAATATGTAATTCATCTTTTTTTAAAGAAATCTGCAGCTTTCAATGATACCATTTTATACTGTGTAATTGGTCAGTGGATTTCTAAAAGTTACTTTGCACTTGTTGGAATGCCAACATGCTTGAAATTGGAAGCAAATGAGGAGAGAGCAAACAAACATGCTTGTCTATGGAAAGATAATTGCAGGTTAATTATTGGTGGAAGAGCACTGCAGACATTCATGGTGGGACAGTGGCTCATTGGTTAGCACTGCTGCCTCACAGCGCCAGGGACCCATGTTTGATTCCAGCCTCTGTGGTGTGTGGATTTTACACGTTTTCCCCAAGGCTGCATGGGTTTCCTCTGGGTGCTCCAGTTTCCCCTCAGGGTCCAAAGATGTGCAGGCTGGGTAAATTAGCCATCTGAAATGCAGAGTTATGGGGTGGGGGTCTGGGTGGGGCACTCTTCAGAGGGGTGCGGTTGACTCAATGGACTCAATGGGCTGAATGGCCTGCTTTCCACACTGTAGGGATTCTGTAATTCTAGAATGCATTACTGAAGGACTGGTAACTTGTTGGATGTTGGATTGATTCAATCAAGGAAAGGAAATGGGGAAGCAGGCTGCAGGTTTGGAAGCTATTTTGAGTTTTAGACATTCTAGTTTTATGTTTAGTTAAAGAATTGTTGAATGTTTCGAGAAAAGAACCTCAGTTTATAAGAAATACGTGAATATTCCTTGGAGCCTTCTGGAAACTGTTTACATTGAATTCTGAAGGTGATCAATCAAGATTGTAATACGGTGCCTCATTCAGGGTTTCCATGAAGACTATGGCTGGAGGAGTGCACATTGCTCCCACCCCAGCACTCCACAGGTCACAAAATAAAGTTAAAAACCTTTGCAAATTACCAGGATGATGAGGTAAATACGTTTTCCACACCAGGTTTGATTTTGTTGTTTTAATCAGTCAGATTTCTTAAACATATTTATTTGTTTATTATAAAAGCAAAAATCCAAATTTGCCACCTTGATTGGTTTTCTGAAAACAAAACCTTTTTCGCCTTTTATTTTTGAAGGGAGAAGGATCAAGTGTGGGATGTTCCACAGTCTGTTGCAGTGATGTTCTGGCACATGTGGGTGCATCAGTGAATCATGCACAGTTGTTCTAAAGTTTTGCATTACTGTCAGATTTCTCTGGAAATACTTACTTCCAATCACTCTTACAAATATATAGTTTTCATTCTGAACTAATCAAGTGGGTTTTCCTTTTAGAAATAAGAGAGCAGCTAGTTCTTAGGCTTCCTCCAAATGAACCAGACCAAACAAGAACTTGCCAAGTCTGGTCAAAAACAGCCTGAATAGAACGTACAGCATAGGAAGCAGTTATTACAAGTTGTGATTTTTTTTTTTTTAAAAACCCTTTTTCTTAAAAAAAAAACTTCAATATCTACAGTGAACTTTCAATGCCCTCTTTTGAAGAAGCTATTCCAGATGTGTCCACAGAACATGAAATTTCCTTTTCCTACAAAACCTAAGTACTCTAAGCAAAATTAAATATGAATTATCATTGTGACACTACTTTGAACTCATTGCTATTCAGCATATTTAATTAAAAAAACACTTGGGTATGATGGAAAGCATTAATATGTATTCCGTGTCAATCTAGCTATCCTTGTGTAAACTGGAGGTGACATACTTAGTGTGTATGCCGTAGAAATAAATTACTCAATCTTTCACTTAAGCACCTGCTTTAAAGATGCTGAGGGGTAACTTAATTGCTGCTGTTTTCAGAGGCTGAAACATCAACTAAGAGAAGTTGGATCGCTGGTTGAATGTGAGGAGACTACATTTCCACTGATCTCTAGCTCACCTTGTTCTAAGCCCTGCGATGCTAATTTTGTTTGCCTTGTATGGATCTTTCCCAGTTAATAGGTACAGTCTGGAAGTTATCTGAAGCTTACTCCTGAGTACTTGGGCTGTAATAATTAGCATTGCTTTTTGCTGGAACCCAACACCGATTTATAGATTACCATCACCTTTATCCAGCATGAAGGCAGACGTGGATGGTCATGAGCTTCCTCTCCATAGTCAGAGAGAGAAAGAGACTGACAACTGTTCCAGAAGTCTGCGTGGGGACTCCCTGAAATGGACCAGATTGAACTGGCCAAGGCTAAATTTTGAGACATCTGTGGGTAGCCTGTCGATGCTGGCTTTGCTAGTGATGATACTTATGTTTCAGCATTTTTTTGAAGAATAAACTTGGTTGACAAGTTTAAAGGAATGGTTGGATATCTGATCAGAGACTTGTTTCTTGGTGCTGTTGCATACAGCAATTCAGGACATGAATCCTTAAAATGACTAAAGATAAATTTTTGATATATGGACACAATCCTCCTAGTCTTTCATCTCCACGTAATGTTTTCTGTTTTCAAGTGAGCAACTAAAGTGGCAGTTCTTGTTTCAGATATAAAGCTGAAAAATGCAGGGAATACTCTGGTCAGGCAGTGAACACGTAGTTAGACGTAATTAATATTTGAGTATTTACCTAAAACAGTAACTGTCTTTCTGCAGATGCTTCCTGACCACCTAAGTATTTCAACAACTTTTGCTTATATAGCACATCTAAAAGTAACGAAATATCCAGAGATCCTTCACATGAGCATTATAAAACATAGGGAGGTATTGGGTCAGATAACCTAAAGCTTTGGCAAAGCGATAGCATTAATGGAGCGTGTTTAAAGGATGAAAGCAAGGTTGAGATGGAAAAGGCATAGGGAAGGAATTGCAAAACATGGCCCCGGCAAATGAATACATGGCCGTCAGTGGTGAGACAGTTGAAATTGGGGGTGCACAAAACAACAGAATTCAAGGAGCGTAGATGAGAGCTGTTGAGCATTTTCTGTCAATTTCAGATTTGCAGCATCTTGTATTTTGCTTATGTCTGTCTTTAGTAAACTGTTGTCTTGCCACAACTATGTTCAGAATTTTTTAAACTTTCATTTTAGAATCTTAAATTGTTTGTAACTGCATCTCAGATTTTCATTTTAAACTGAATTCTTCATTGCATACTAATTTCATCTTTTATCTTGTCATCAGGCACAAGTTGTATTGCAAGGCAAGTCTAGAAGTGTTATTATTCGGGAACTACAAAGGACTAATTTGGATGTCAATCTTGCTGTGAACAATCTACTGAGCCGTGATGATGAAGACGGAGATGACGGTGATGATACAGCAAGTGAATCATATTTACCTGGAGGTTTGTGAGCTTGATGCTCGGGTTTCAGGTTCAGATTACCTTGATTCTAACAGACCTGTTAGAATTCTAAGAGATAAGAAAATAGGAGTATGCTGCTGGACCATGTCCAGATTTTGTTGTTTGTAGGTCTCCTAAGCATGTATCAAGAAACCTAAGATTCACATGTGAGGTGCATACCCATGTCTTATAAAAAGCTTTGTAAATTGGATTCCTCCCATCCCAAACTCCCCAATCCCTCACCCCACATCCCACCTCAGATCATAATATGTAGCTTGACTGACAAAATATCTGTTTGTAAATGCTGTCTTTCACTCCTTAAGATAACTGCAGGCTTTCAGATATCATTTCCCTCTTTCTCCAATGTGCTTGACTGATTCTATAGATGGGCACCTTGTAATTTTGAGAAATACTTAACCATTTGAGACAGCATTGTGCTGGAATTGTATAGGATATTGCGCATCCTTCCATGGCGAATGTCACAAAGGCCCCTTATGTTTCATTCATGATTTCCAGTGTTAGTTTTTTCTCTATTGTTAAAGGAACAAATGCTCCTCATTTTAGTTTTATTGTGAACAAATTTATTTTGTATTAGTTTTGTACTATTGACATTGCTGTGTTCCCTTCTCAGAGGATCTTATGTCATTACTGGATGCAGATATCCATTCTGCACATCCGAGTGTCATCATAGATGCTGATGCTATGTTTTCTGAAGATATCAGCTATTTTGGTTATCCTTCCTTCCGCCGCTCTTCTCTCTCCAGACTAGGCTCATCAAGAGGTATTTTGAAGCCAAGATAATTTTACAAGCTTTTCTATATCTTTCTAGGTGTTTTCTCCTTATCCTGCGCTTTCAAAAATTAATTGCATTTTGCTTCTGATGGTAAGAGTAGTGAATAAATTTGGGCATTATTTCTTTCATAGTTTATAATGTTGTGGGACAGCTGAATAACTGGGTATATTTCAATAACAACTATCAACAATAGATAAAAACTTTGAATTTACAACTCCATCTGTGTTTTTCTTTAAAATCTTAAACTTGAGAGAATTACCTTTCCTAGTAATCTCTTTTCATGGTTTGAGCATTCCACCTGATATTGCTAGAAGATCCAAATTTTTAGTGTTTTATTATCTAGGTTCTTACATTTACTTGGGTCTTTAACTGCAACTGATGATCAGTTGGTCTGCATTCTTTACTAGGTTTAGCATTACTTGGTATTTATGTTAAAGGCTTATAAAGCTTGGCATTTCTTAAGTGAAGATATGGAAAGTAAATGAACAGAAAAAGATTCTCTGGTATTTCAGGTCCATTCAAAGAATATTGTTATACCAATCTATACATTCCAGGAAGAAATGAAAAACTCAGTCAGTTTTGTGGGTAGTGTTCCAAAAGCTGGGAAATTCTTCACTGACCCTTGTCTCCCATGCAATTAAAACTAGAATAGGAGATGGCTTTAACCAAGTTAAACTATGCAGTGGAGGTGATCTCTGCCCCATCCAGAAACCAGTCCAGATTTTGCATGAAGGAATTTAGTGACAGCATCATGTACAAACTGACGTCTATTAGTCTATGGAAACAGAGCCGATTCATGTCATCTCAGTTCGTGTGACTTCCAGTTGTGACCCAGTTTTCTTCTCCTTCTCTGCATAAAGTTAAGTTGGAACAAACTGTGAACTCAGAGACAATCGTTCATTCATCATATTTGATCAGATCTCCCTACACCACTGCTCCTGTAAAAGGTAGAGTCTCAGCTCATTTTAGCTGCATTGATAACTAAGATGATTTAAACTGGGAATTAATTCAGCACACCACCTCTGTAGTTTCGATAACATGCTAGTATCACTCCATTGTGAGACAACCAAAACTGTATTCTGTATTCTGACTGAAGCCCACTAAGCTATTCTATCAGGACAAATAGTGTTCTTTGTCTTGAAAGTAGAAAATAAGGGGGTGAAAAATTATGAATTAAAGAATCTAGCACATTTTTTAATGTTCTAAATCAGCATTATGCTGTTCTTTTAAATGTACAAGCTGTTTGTGTAATTGGTTTAAGAAAATAACATTTGATCATATTGGTATACTAAAATCTGAGCACCTGTATTACTGTATATAGGTTTCCTGGCCCATGTAGAAACTGCCAATTTTTAAAATAACAATTGGAGCTTCCAATCGATATGAAAGAATGATGTGACAAGATTTCATGTTTTACTGTGCAAACAAGACAATGAGAATTGTTTTTGTAGGCAACTTGTACTTTTAAAATGCATAACTTTTGCTTTTACTTGGAGCATAGATTTGGTTTGGTTATATTTCATGTATATGGTATACTGTCCTTTGAATAGACTTTCGATTCTCCTGAAACTAGTCAAAATGATTCTTGGCTGCTGAGGATTTACTTCATTTTTCTTTCTCAGCCCGGTACTATTTAAATCCAGGACTGTCTGCAAAAGCAAATGTCTTTTTGCTGGTGATTCTCCCTCTGACACAGATTCTGCAGTCACGAATTTGAACATCTCCATCTGAGTGTGAGCTCTTACCCACATTCCTACACTCAGACCTCTAGCTGCTCAGTCTCTGCTGGATTCTGGAAGACTGACTGTCTTGAGAATTTCAAGGATATATTTGAAACCCTTCCCCTCTTAAAGCAACAGGAATCCCATGGGTCTTTTATTCAGATAGAAATGGCAATTAGCTATCCTTGAGATTTCCAACCCCTAAACTTTTTTTGTCTTAGATTTAAATGAATAGTTTAAAGCTCAATTGTTTAACTACAATATAATCAACATTTTGCTGGGACTAAGACTTCCATTTGAACTACTGTAATCACCTTGCACCTTCTCAGCAAAATAAATTAAACCTTTCTCTGGCATTTTAATAGGCTCTTGATTCAAGGCTGCTGTCAGGCAGACTTCAGAACAGGTCAGGTTCCTAATTTTACCCTAAATTACAGGTGGAGCCCCAAATCGGGTCAAAATTAAATTCTTCTTATTGTAACAGTTTATACCTCAGTTGCTCTAACTGTTTTAAAAATGATGTATTCATGATTTTGCCAAGGTGCAGGAAGAAAAGGTTTCATATGTTTAGATCACTGTACAGCTTTGAAATTTTAAGTATTGTTAGTTGTATGCATTATAAATCAAACCTCTTACTGCAATCCATGCAATGACAGATGAGCTATCATGAAACATTGTTTGGTTTTGTCCTCATTTCAGCTCAAATGTAGAGCTGCAGGGCTGAAAGATATTGTACATTTCAATTTAAAATGCACAGGTACATGTTTGTGTGATCTGGTTTCAAAGTAGAAGATGCTGTTTCCTTGATGAAGAAAGTAATGGACCGTGTGACAATAATTGATCCAAATTAAATGGTGCCAACGGATGAGCAAATCAAATATGTAGTTTGTGTCAAATGTTCAAGCTGCAAGAGAGTACAATACTTTGAATATTTTAAAAACATTAAATTTTTCATTTTGGCATTCAGTTGTGTAATCTTGCATTCAAAGTTAAAAATTAAGCACGTGTCGAAAATAGAAAGGAGGGAGAGTGTGAGTGGAATTGAAGGCCTTCCTTCCAAGAAGTGTGTGTAACTGGACAACTTTCAACTTGTGTTTTTGACCGTCTTCTAGCAGTCATTTACAAGTAGACATTGACATTATCTTAACAAGCAATGTTCTATTGATGTGGAATGGTAGGTAGTTTGGGTGAGCATAAATTTTATTTTGGGAGAGAGAACAATCAGGGTGAATATAAATCAGAAGTGACTGTCCCTTCAGTGGTAGTCCTTGTTACATTCAATTTGGCATAGTGCAGAGTTGTTACGCACTCGTCTTGTGTAACACTGCTTTTAGTTGTACTGTGGAGGGTTTTCCTAGAGATTGGCTTATTTTTATTCCACTGGTGTGACCCCATTGCATACCAGTTCTCCTTCTTCCCTTAGAGAGAGACTCCGATCTGTTGCGTGAACGTGAGTCAGTTTTACGTTTACGTGAAAGGAGATGGCTTGATGGTTCCTCATTTGATAATGAACGAGGCTCCACAAGCAGAGAAGGTGAATCAAGCTTGGATAAGAAAAGCCTTCCGGTTCAAAGTCCTGTCTCCTTGGGAGAAGAGTTGCAGTGGTGGCCTGATCGGGTGAGTGTTTTTTTTTTTAAAAAAAAAAAAAAAAAATTGATGTGACTGAAGCTTATTAGTAGGTTTTGGAAGTTGTGCTGTGATTCAGTAATCTTTTTAATAAATCTATGAACAATCTGACCGTAAGAGTTTTGTCTGAACAAAGAAGTTGATTCCTATTAAGTGTGATAGTTGTAAGTCTAATATACTACACTTACTAATTTGAAACGTGGCTGGCAGTTTGAGTGATACTACTAGCTTGGTGTCATCCTCTAATTGAGCATGCAAGCATAGATTTGAACTGTCTGACATTCAGCTGTCAATGAAGTAATTTTCCTGCCAATGTTTTTAAGCTTTCCTTGCATTTCCATCGCATTACAGTTGACAGAAAACTAAAATTGTACAAACTTCTCAGCATAATGTAGTATGTATATAAATTTCATTTCAGCTAGTCTGTACCTAAATTATACTGCACAATTTAAGTTGCCAGAAATGACGGAAATGTGCAAGCCTGTTTATTCAGTTTGTGATCAAGCCAGTAGCGTAAAATGCCAACTTAGTTTTAGTATAATAAAATTGGAAAGATCATGGCAAACAATTATCTCAATTTTTTGAATCCTACTGTTGCTTGTTCTAATTTGAGGTGGAAAATAAATTATGGTTTTGTTCTAGTGGAATTGAGTGGTCAAAGTCACTGATAGGATTGAAAGCGTAGAATGCAGATCCATTTTGCTATGGTTACAGTACCCTCATTTCTTTGTCTGTAGAGAGTGGGAAACCAAATTTCTTTTGCTTGAGAAAAATGTTTTGGATCTCTGGTATGGTCCATAAATTTCAGGAAAAATTCAAAATTGTTTAATATGTGAACTGAATTTAATTTTATTAATGATGTCAGCCTTCATTAGAATTATATCTGCAATAGAATCTATAACTCTTCCTCTAAAGTTTGTAGCAGCTTTTAGTTTTGACTTCTATCAAGCAGGTATAGGTTTAACAACATTGCCAGGTCTATAGAAGATGTGCCACAATAACTAGTTCAAATCTTGCTAGAACAGTGGGTTCTGTAGAGCATTTGAAGCAAGTCCATGAGAATTAAAATTGTTCAAATCCAATTTTTTTTCTCCCTAGGATGGTACCAAATTTGTAGCTATCGGTGCTCTGTTCTCAGAGCTTATAGCTGTAAGCAACAAAGGTGAATTGTATCAATGGAAGTGGAATGAATCTGAACCTTACAGGAATGCACAGGTATAAATACTTTACTTTTGCTTCACTCTGATTTGTGCCTAGTTGTATACTGTTTCTGTGCTAACTGAATTTTAAAATCTTCTTCATACCCTAAAGAATCCCTCTGTGCACCATCCTCGAACCACACAACTAAGTTTAACCAATGAGAAAATTGTCCTTCTGGCTGCCAATAGTATTAGAGCTACAGTTACAACAGAAAACAGCAAAGTAAGTATAATTAAATTGAAAGGTGCAGAATTTGATTAAAATTATGTGTTTGTTTCAAACGGTCTCCAAATCTCTCTCTCATTTTTTTGGGCACTTATCTTCCAACTGATCTTGTACACAGGCCTGGTTTTAAATAATTAATCTTAGCTGTTCTGTATGTTGAGATTTTCTAATATTTCAGTTGTGCTTTTTGATGGCTGAAAATGATCTCGGTTCATAAACTTCCACTGATTTTGTCTTATTTGACGTATTATTTTGAAGTTGAGAGAGGAGCGTGTTTAATCTAGTTATTCAACTCACCAAAATAGCTGGCAGCTTAAGGCAATGCCTGACCAATCAGGGTGACCTGTCTGCTTTAAATGCCTGGAATTAAACAGTACCCAGATTTCCTGTTCATGGCAATATCTCCACCAGTCAGAATCTATTTGCTGACCAATCAGAATTCTCCACACATGCAGTATAAATGTTGGTTTTTCTCTTGAATTTTTATTTTTGCGAAATGTCCTGATGAATGCATTATGAAATTTCTGGACAAATGACTTTTTTTTTCTCAGCAATACTCCAAGTTCTTTACAACCAAATGAAATATCAAATTGTATTAAAAAAAAACAATGGGGAATGGACCACACTGTGTGTAGGTATCCTAAATGTGGCAGTTTTTAATGGAATGGGAGGCTGTTAATTTCTCAGTTGCTCGTTCTTCTTGTTTTAGGTTGCCACGTGGGTAGATGAGACATTATGTTCTGTAGCTTCTAAACTGGAACACAGTGCACAAATTTTTCCAGAGTTGCAAGGAGAAAAGATTATGTCTTTGCACTGTTGTGCCCTATATACATGTGTCCAACTGGAAAGTAGCCTCTATTGGTGGTAAGTGTTGAATGCATTTTTAAAATCTCATGTTGGCAAAGTACGTATATTACGTTTTACTTGGTCAGTTAAACACTACAGTGCAACTTATCAGCTTTTCCTGCTTTGAATTTGACATTCATTTTGTCTAAATGGCTAAATGTTTAAGTGCTATGTGCTTTTCTTTTTTTAAAAAAAATAGTTTAGCAAAACAGATGATACGAGAAATTCAGGACCGGATTAATATTTTGCTCATGTAAGTTGCTATAAACTTGATTAAGGATGTTAATGTTCAGACAACTCTCTGCAGATAATGCTTCACAGTTAACCATTCTAGGTACAGATAGTTCTCTTATAACGCGATAGTTGCATTCTTGTGTGACCTCGTGCCATAGAAAATCTCATTATTGGAAAATTGCTATACCTGTACAGCAGAAAGTTTGCGTTCTCCAAACGGTGTCCACTATTCGTCGGTCGCATTACAGCCAATTCATATTTTCAGATGTTAGACCATTTAAAAGCCTTGGTCAATGTTGTTCTCACCCCATTTTATCATGCAGTTCCCTTTTTTAAATTCTAACATGGCAGGAATTACAACAGTGACTTAATTTTTGCTGTGTTCATTCTTTTGAACTCTTGTGCAGGTTCAGTTAGTTTCTTTTTCGTTTCGTCAGAACTATTGATTTCATAGAGTCAGAGTTGTATAGCATGGAAGGAGAAGCAGACCCTTCGGTCCAACTCGTCCACGCCGACCAGATATCCTAAATTAATCTCAGCCCATTTGCCAATATTTGGCCCATATCCCTCTAAACCGTTCCTATTCATATACCTATCCAGATGCCTTTTAAATATTGTAGTTGTATCAGCCTCCACCACTTCCTCTGGCAGCTCGTCCCATATACGCACCACCCTTTGTGTGAAAAAGTTGCCCCGTAGGTCACACTTTATATCTTTCCCCCCTCACTTGAAACCTATGCCCTCTAGTTTTGGACTCCCCACCCTGGGGGAAAAGACCTTGGCTATTCACCCTATCACACCCGTCATGATTTTATAAACCTCTAAAGTCACCCGTCAGTCTCCGATGCTCCAGGGAGAATAGCCCCAGCCTATTCAGCCTCTCCCCATAGATCAAACTCTCCAACCCTGGCAACATCTACATAAATCTTTTCTAAACCCTTTTCAAGTTTTACAGCATGCTTCCTATAACGGGAAGAGCAGAATTGAATGCAGTATTCCAAAAGTGGCCTAACCGATATCCAGTACAGCCACAACATTACCTCCCAACTCCTATACTCAGTGCACTGACCAATAAAGGCAAGATACCAAACATTGTCTTCACTATCTTACCTGCCTGCAATTTCACTTTCAAGGTGCTAAGAACCTGCACTCCAAGGTAGGTACCTTTGTTCAGCACCGTTCTGCCCTGATTTGCTTTTCCAAAATGCAGCACCAGTGGGAGCTGATTTTCACTTACCCAAGCCTGCATCACGATTCAGTAAGATTGCGAGTGATCTTACTGTGGCCTTCGTTGCATTTTCCCTTGTGACTCCCATCCCTTAACTTGTCAGTTTATTCAAATTATTAAATACAGATAACACAATTTTAAAGCAAAGAAGCTGACAGATCTTAAATTTTATTCCCCACTTTCCTCAAATTGGATGCGAGAGTTTTACTTTTTTGGGTATAAAAAAATACAATTTTGAATAGATATTTTCAAGGACTCAACAGCAGTATTTTGTGATTGGAATGGACCTGCTTGCGTAGTCTCCCATCCTGTTTTCTGGAGGTAAATCAGCTGATTATAGTGGCCAGATCGGAGATTGTTCCCCTCAACCCAAATAATGATTCAAACTTATCAAATTAGTAAAAGGCAGTAGTATACAACTTTTTTCAGTTTGATCATAATACAGAAAAGAATATTCTTGAGCAGTACAAACTGCACTGAATATATCATAATAGTTAAGAATCACCCTCTTTTTCTCAGCTTCAGAACCGAAGAACTCATCCCAGTCTGCTTCACGAATTGCATAGTCATATGAATAATCAACAGCAATCACGATGTCATGAACAATATCATTCAACAAACAATCTGTTGTCCCATAAGTACAATGATGAGCCAAGATTTCTTGTTTTAGAAACATGGAAGCATAGACTATAAGAGCAGAAGTAGGCCATTTAGACCTTCAAGCCTGCTCTGCCATTCAATATGATCATAGCTGATCATTCAACTTTACCCTACTCCCACTTTCTCCCCGTATCCTTGGATTTCTTCTGGCCAAAGTGTTGTATGTACATCTTTCTTGAAAGTTTTCAATCTTTTGGCCTTGGCAATTTTCTGTGGCAGGGAATATCACCAGCTCACCAATCTCTGGGTGAATAAATTCCTCCTCCGGTCCAGAAAGGTCTAACCTGTCTAATCCTCTAAGACTTTCATAGGTTTCTATATGGTCTTTCTCACTCTCTCTCTTGCCCTCTGGCCCTCCATTCCTCCAAATCTGAGAGACTGTGTATTCCTAACTGATCCAGTCTGTCCCTGTATGTCAATCCCACCATCCCAAACATTTAGTCTGGTAAACTTTTATTGCACTCCCTCTATAGCCAGAACATCCTCCTTCAGACAAGTATGCAGATCTGGTCTCCAATACACCCAGGTGTGGTCTTATCAATGCCCTGTACAGTTGCAGCCTGACATTCTCAAATCCTCTTGCCAGCATACTGTTGGCCATCTTCATCACCTGCATGCTTACTTTCAATGATTCATTGGTGTACAAGGATGAGCAGGTCTTGTCACACCTCCCTTTTCCCGATCAGATAATGATCTTTCTACTTGTTTTGCTACCAATGTGAATAACCTCCTATTTATCCCACATTATACTTCACCTACTATGCATTTGCTTGCTCACTTAATATGTCCAAATCTCTCAAACTTTTCTGCATCCTCTCCACTGTACATACGCCCCCACACAGCTTTGTGTCATTTGCATATCTGGAGATATGATATGCAAGTTTCCTCATCTAAATCATAAATACAGTTTGTGAATTGCTTTGGCCCAGCACTGATCACTGTTACCTTGCTAGTCACAGCTTACCACTCTGAAAAAGACCCGTTTAACACTGCTCTGCATTTCCTGTTTGCAACCAGTTTTCTATCCATGTTAGTACACAACCTCCAATCCCATATACTTTTTAATTTTGCAAGCTAATCTCTTATGTGGGATCTTACTGAGAAAGCCTTCTAAGGGCCAAGTAAATAGCATAGATGTGCTCTGCTTATTAGCTTTCCTAAAGTTGGTAGCTCCTACTCTCTACACCAGTGGCTCATACTCTCTACGCCACCACCGCACAACCCCCCCAATCAGTGTCTCTCTTTACTGGAATCTGAGTGTTCCTAATTCTCAGGCCTGTTGCTTTTTTTTCACCCAGTCTGTGTTCCTCCCCTTTTGGATTTAATATCTGCTGGAGTTCCTAGGATAGTATCCTAAGTCTAACCATCTTCAGCTACTTCTTCAATGACCTTACGTACATCATAAGATGAAGGGTGGAGATGTTTGCTGATTGTGTTAGGTTCAGCACCATTCGTGACTCGTCAGATACTGAAGCAGTCCATGTTTAAATGCAACAAGACCTGGCCATTATCCAGGCTTAGATTGAAAAGTGATAAATAACATTCATGCCCCACACGTGCCAGATAATGACCATCTCCAATAAGAGACAATCTAACCACCAACCCCCTTATTATTGTATTGCCATCACTCAATTCCCCTATTCTCTTAGCCTGGGGGTTACCCTTGACCAGAAACTCTGGCTGGAATCAACATACAAGTACCGTGGCTACAAGAGCGTATCAGAGACTAGGAATACTGAGGTGATTAACCTATCTCCTGATTCCCCAAAGCCTGTGCACCATCCACAAGGCACAAGTATGGAGTGTTTTGGAATGCTGCCCACTTGCCTGGATGAGTGCAGCTCCAACAACTCTTGAAGCTTGACACCGTTCATGACAAAGTAACGTGCTTGATTGGCATGACATCCACTCCCTCCACCACTGATGCTCAGTAACAGGAGTGTGTACTATCTACACGATGCACTGCAGAAATTCACCAGAGATCCTTGGACAGCACCTTCCAAACCTCCGACCACTTCTTTCTAGAAGGATAAGGGCGACAGATACATTGGAACACTGCCACCTGCAGGTTCCCTTCCAAGCCACTCTCCATCCTGATGGGGAAATATATTGCCATTCCTTCAGTGTCAGTAGCTCAAAATCCTGGAGTTCCCTCCCTAATGGCATTGTGGGTGACTACACCTTCCCTGATTTGCATTGGGATAGCTTTTCGCTTGATTATCACCACTGACTTTAGCTTTAAGACATTGTGCGAGCATGCAATGTTGAATATGCTGTTTTCGTGGCCAGTGACTTCAAAAACAGTGTTTTCCCTTCAGTTTTGCTCCCCATTTGACTGGCCCGTCAGAATTCATGGGAGTCTCATTCCTGTTCTTAATACAAGCCTTTCTGTATCCATTCCTTTTGATGTTTCATTACAAACTTTTGAAATACCATGGGCCTATCATGCTGTGATGAGAGACACCTGAGATATCTTTAGTCTTCTATCATAGCTGAAATTGGTTCTCTTCAAAATCTCACACATTGTCCAGGATTGGCTTTGAAATCTGCGACTGAAATTTTCCTGTTTCAAGGCAGAAATTGAGATATATTTGAGAGAAACACGAGTCTGTTCTTGCAGTTTTTATTCTTGCATTTTTTTAATTATAACCATGTGCTAAATGTTCCAATCTTTGCACATTTTATTGTTATGGATCTGCCTAAGTTGTAAAGAACATTTCTTCCAATCTTTAACATTCTTCTCCAATATCTTGTATTCTTTAGTGGGGCACAATTATTATCTGTATTGCAAACTCAACAGTTTTAAGTTTGATCTGGCAGCATATCTGCTATTCCATTTTAATACAATGTTGTCATATTAGATGGATTGGTAACCTTCATAGCGTGCGGTGACTTGCAGATATGGGGAACTGAACGGCCGTCTTCAGTGGTGTGTTATTCTTATTCTAGAAATGTTTTGCATCAAAGTGCGTCTAACTTCAGCAGCAAATGAGTAGTGCATAGAAACTTTGCTTTGTTTTGACAAAATTATGGGGTTGGACTTTTACGGTCGACAAATTATTGTTCAAGGAAATTCTATCTCTTTGTAGCATGGGCATCGACTTGCCTGTTGTTTCCATGGCAACAGATTTTTGTGTCTCTTGTAATCTTTAACTAGGTTAAATTAAATGGTTAGGAGGGTCTCGTGGGACTGGCCTGTTTCTGTGCTGTAAATTGTGTGAACTGATCCCTGTTACATCCAATGAATCACCTTTCAAAGTTCAAGGCTGCTGTCCTGTGAACTATACTTCTGCAGATTTGATCTAATGTTTACCTGCTTCAGAAGCCTCCTTTTTTTACATGGCAAAATATATACTTGAACAAAGCTTTGTTCCCATATGTGCTGCCAAGTAAGTAGTAAAACATATGGAATCAGCAAGGAGATCAAATCTAAAAGTAGGGAACTTTGCTACAGCCATATAAGGTGATATTATATTGGAATGCCATTTGCTGTTTTTGACCTTATTTAAGAATGGATGCGTATACTTTGAAGGTGGTTAAGACAATATTCAGTAGGTCAATTCCTTGGTACTTGAATCTAAACACATTGGATTTGGAGGAATGAGAAGTGATCTTCTTGAAGTATACAGGATTCTGAAGTGATAAGGTAAACGCTGGGATGTTTTTCTTTAAGAGAATCTAGAACTAAGGGCTACAACTTCACACTACAGCATCTCCCATTTGAAGATTGAAGTTAGCAATTTATTTCCCCTAAGGGTGATTAATCTTAGGAATGCTGTGCTCCACCCCAAAGAGCAGTGAGGACCGAATCACTGAACATACTCTAGGCTGAGTTGGGCAAATGTGTGATCTACAGGGGAGTTGAGGGTTTTGCAAGTCAGGCAGGAAAATGGAGTTTAGACTGTAGTTAGATAAGGCATTAACTTATTGAATAGTGGAGCAGGCTTGAAGGGCCAAGTAGCCTACTGTTGATCAACTTTATTGTTTTTGTAACATCTAACATTTCACTACTCTTTCAGGAAACTTTTCGATTTGATTTTGAAATTGATGTCAAACTAGCGGGTGTATAATTCTTGTTAGAGTCATAGTTCTGTTTGATTTTCTTGTATTAAAATCTTGATTGCTACAGGATGAAAGGCTTTGACTTCACGTTTCTTTTTCACAATTTTTAAGTCCTGTACTTCCGTGGGAATTAATTTAAATTTTATGGAATTAAACCACATCCTGTTCTCTTATGTTGTAACTAATAATTCACTAACAGTATTTCTTGGGATGTGACTGAGAAAATTTCTCATCTCTGGGTAGCCTGCCAGCTAGATGCCTTCTGATTCTTGCCCTCTGCCTTCCCCTATAAGGGTAAAATTCAATCACTTGATTTATTCTTGTAAATGAAGTCTTTTATGATATTTGCTATTCCATGCATGTTTAAAATGTATGCTTCAACTCCACTTTTTAGACAGTTTAGGTGTAATAAAGAACTACCTTTGTCTAAACTTGCTGAATCAGTTGACCTTTTTTCCCCTCTTTAGGGGAGTAGTGCCTTTCAGCCAACGGAAAAAGATGCTCGAGAAAGCAAGAGCCAAAAACAAAAAACCAAAGTCCAATGCAGGCATGACATCGATGCCCAATATCACTGTTGGAACGCAGGTAAGGAGTTTATTTTCTTAAAATTCTCAAACCTTAATCTAAACCTTAAACTAGATTGATGTAATGTGAGACTTTGTTCTTTTGTATTTAACTTTGTAAATGCACGGACTAAATAAGGTGGTTGTACTGCAGAAAGGTGGGAAGGGATATTACCTCATAAGGGTCTAGGCCTGAAACGTCAGCTTTCCTGTTCTTCTGGCCTGCTGTGTTCATCCAGCTCTACACCTTGTTATCTCTTACCTCAAATAAACTTGGCTTGTGCTTTTATGCAGATGATTTGATTGCCTCCAAGTTGAAGGGATATTTTCAATTTTAAACACAAACTGAATAAGTTAAATTAGATCAATTGATTGTTTCTAAACTACCAACTTGAGAAATATAATTTTATTTTAATAGGTGTGTTTGAGAAATAATCCACTTTATCATGCTGGAGCAGTAGCCTTTTCCATTAGTGCTGGCATTCCAAAAGTTGGTGTGTTGATGGAGTCAGTTTGGAATATGAATGACAGCTGTCGATTCCAGCTGAGATCACCAGAAAGTTTGAAAAACTTAGAAAAATTGTCCAAAAGCACTGAAAATAAGTGAGTACCTTTTTTAATATGCACTTGAAATGTCTCAACCTGAATACATGTAGTGAACTTGATTCTCCTCCTGTGTATGTCACATCCTTATGTAGATTGAACTACAATTGTGTGTATACATAGTGTTAATTGGATGAAAATAATTACCTTTGTACTTCAAAACCATGAAGAATTAACAAAGTGTCGTTCATTGTCACTGCCCACTCGTTAATCTAAAGCATAAGCAAATGTCTTGCTAAAGTGCTTTGTAAGCCCAGAAAGTTTGTTTAACTGCTACAGTATTTTGAAAGCTTTCAAAATGACAAATTTAATTACTAATCCTACATTTTTAATTCTTCAGCTTCGTTCAGCAAGTAGCAATCTTGCTTTCAAGTTAAAAAGTTTTGCACTGGCATTTGAATGTATAGTCAGTACAGTACTTCACTACTGTGTAGAGGAAATACCTTTTTTAATCAAAGGTAGCATACTTCAGGTGAAAGATTAATCTGAAATGCAGACCGAATACTTTAAAATGAAGTATTTATTCCTCAAAATAGTATCAGAACATGATCCCTTTTTAGATTTTGTTCCACTTCTTCAGAGGCAGTAAGTTTTCTCCCATAATTGCTTCCATCTTCCTGCCACTGGATAAAAGATTAATAGAATCCTGCTGTGTTCCGTGTTTGCTTGATGGGCAAAATTGCATCAGGTTTACTTGTGCTTAGTGTCAACTATTAGATTTCATTGTATCCGAAAAGTGATCTCTTGAAGCCAAGTTTTGCGCTGTGGAGAATGAACAGAGCCAGTCATTCATTTATACTGGTCCATTAACTATCTGTGAAGTTTTATGGTAAAGTTAGAGCTTGTATAAGAAACTGTGTAGCTGGAAGTTGAGACGCCAAGGAAAGCGACTGTGCAGCTCTATAACTGGTCAGATTGAAGAATCATTTGCTACATAGAGTCCAACCCAAGAATTATATGCCATATGTTCTATAGTACTAAATTTAATGTCAGCATACAGAAAGTGAAAAGGGAGGGGTAAGATTGAATTGAGTAATAGAATAAAGATTGTTTTCAATAATATACATAAAGTTAGACTCTGCACTGTAAAAGTTATACTTCAAGCTTAGAGGGCTTTGTTTTAAGCAGTCATTAAAAAAAGGCCATTTATTCCTTGAAAAAGATACTTGTAGTGGAAAGAATTTCTCTTCCACTGACTTAGTGCAAAAATATCTGGTAAGTACACCAAGCTGTCGTCTTTCAAAATGCTTGAATCCGATGCTGAAATGTTTTTTTCACAAGGTCCTGGAGCAGCATGCTTTGTGCATCAGCATCCAGATTTTCTTACTTGAATGCATACACAATCAGTGGAAGTTGCTATCTAATTTCCAGGTAACTAAAGGTGAATGCTGTTGGCCTCACTTCTACTTTTGCAAGAATTGGTGCATTACTTCTCTACTTGAAGGTGTTTATTGAAGTAAATGTTTGTTATTTAATGATTTTAAAATTGTATGAGTATCTTAAATTTGCTTTTGATGTGTAAATCGATGTGCTCAGTTTCATTCTAGGTGTCAACATGCAATATCGAGCACACCTTTGTATGAAGGAAAGTAACAGCTTTTTGAATAACCATTCCAGTGGTGATTGAATTAAGGCTTGAAATTTTTTTAATAAAGAGCTTGATTTATTTTGAATGCTTCAAGTTTGATTTTTATTTGCCCATATCTGAATAAACTACTGAAAATTAGTTATGTAGTATAACTTCATGGTGAAATAACCTACATCATTGTTTTGAAATATGTAGTTAATGTCATTTTTCTGGTATAGGACTGAGAGTAAACAAGAGTCTGTAAAGACTGAGATGGGGCCGCCGCCATCTCCAGCATCCACATGCAGTGATGCATCGTCTATCGCTAGTAGTGCATCACTACCCTACAGTAAGTATTGCCACGAAAATATTCTGTAATTTCCCTACTTTCAAGTGATCAGTTATGTTATGAATGCATTCCTTGAAAGAATGGTAGCAGTGGACTTGGTAGTAATTTTTTGAAAAGTTATTTGATAAGTATTTACAGAGAACAATCCTACAAGACTACGTATGGGCCAAGAGTAGGGGAGTGAGCTAATCATTAGTTTTTTTTTCCCCCCAAGAGTTGGCATGGGCAGAATGGGATAGTTGACTTCTGCTTTAAGATACAACAATTTTACCTGCTAGAGATCGTAAGAACTCCTGATGCTGGAGTCAGAGATAACAGTTGGAGCTGGAGGAGCACAGTGGGCCAAGCAGCATCAGAGGAGCAGGGAAGAAGGGTCCCGACCCAAAACATCAACTTTCCTGTTCCTTGGATGCTGCCTGGCCCGTTGTGCTCCTCCAGCTCCACACTCCGTGTTAATTTTACCTGCTATTTTTGTTTATAGTGTTTCTTTATTTAGCACTAATGAGCTATGTTTGATCAGTTGTATTACCTTGTTTAATTCTTGAGGTATGATTGGTTAATTCTTTTCTCTTAATACAGAGCGCAGGCGTTCCACTCCAGCACCTAAAGAGGAAGAGAAAGTAAATGAAGAGCAGTGGCCACTTCGAGAAGTGGTATTTGTTGAAGATGTTAAAAATGTGCCAGTGGGGAAGGTATGGAACTTAACAAATATTTAGTGTTGCAACAAAAGTGAATATTTAAGTTAACTAAATTCTCTTAAATTAAGTACATCAGATGTGAGTGGGGTAACTTCAACTGTATAACCACTTATATAAAAATGTACCTTGTGACTCGAGCAGCAAGATAACTTGTTTGGCAAAGTGCTGTATGTAGATTACAGAAGTTGCTTTAGATTTATTCAATAAATATGTTGCCTTCCAAATGTTTATAGTGAAAGCCAGTTAATATCAGTTGTTCCTATCTATTGGCTGTACACAATTATGTTGCTATTAACATATAAATCTATATTTTATAGTCATGGTTTGTGCACCACTTTTAATTCTTGAAGTAACAGTGGAGCACAGCTTGCTAGACATAAAAAGCTTGATTGAACACATTGATCTGTTTTCTTTCATAGTGTAAAATTAGGCTTAGGAAGCCATTTGGCAAGTAATTTGAAGCCAAGCAAGAAATATAACGCTAAGAATCTAGTGCCCGAGTGTGAGCAGTGAACAAGTGCAGCATGTTTTGGTTGAGCTGCCATCCTACTGTTACTGAATCATAACTTAGTATTGTCATTGCAATAAAATCTTCATTTGGTAAGATACAGTATTTCACTTGGGATTTCAATGTAATATTTGTGAATAACCTCTCAGGCTTTTGGGCCGGATCTTGCTATAGTAGCATACTGTTTGATTTATGTGCACTCAACGCATGCAAAATGAAACTTGCTGGAAATTCAAATCAATGCTGGCTCAGTGGAAAGCCTTTATAAAAGGCTGCTGTGCGCTCCTTAACCAGTGAGGTTTATGAATTGTGAAAGAAGTGGCAATGACCGAACAAGTGGTAAGTTAGTGTCAAATCAGGTGCAGGAATAGATGGAAGGAAAGACAGGAAATATAACTAAAATGTAGGCATTTTTAATCAACCTGCTAAAGATGTTCTTGCATGCTTTTGGAGCCAGATGGTCTTGAACCCAGGCCTCCTGGCTCAGTGGTAGGGACACTAACATTGTACTCAAGAGCCATATAACAAAAATGTAGCACTGTACCTAATGTTAAAATGAGATTAAACATTTCAAATTGGACCACAGGGATTGATCACAATTGCGTTTTAAAAAAAAGTCATCACATCATTAAAGTGAAACTGTGCTCAGTCATCAGGTTTAATGGACAATTAATGTGCAAACCAACAAGTTTTTTTTAAAAAAATACGCTAGGGTTGAGGTGCCATTTGTGCGCAGTAAACAGAATAGCGGCATAAATCGACCAGCATGTTTGGAAATTTGCAATTCGTGCATACCTTTCAACTGCTAGTTGATTTGTATATCAATAGTAGTGTATGGTCTTAACATGCCATTATTTTTTCCAGCAAGATCTGGCCCTTCATTGTGCTGATCACAATTCCACCAGTGTTTGTCAACAACATGCACTTTAATTTCTCCAAAAGGTATTGAAAGTGGATGGTGCTTATGTTGCTGTGAAATTTCCTGGGACTTCCAGCAGTGTCAGTAATCAGAACTGTACTAGTACAGATGCTGATCCAACTTCACTTCTGCAAGATTGTAGGCTGCTTCGAATTGATGAACTTCAAGTAAGCATTCTTAAAAACATGTTTTAAATGTTTCTAACTGTTTTATATGCGGGATTACTGGAAAAGTGGGAACTGAGTTGTAGATTAATAGCTTGGATTCGCGGTCTTCCTTTACAGCATTGTCTAAACAACTTCAGATATTAAGAACCATGGCTTCAGGTTTTTTAAATGCTGGATGTAATTTTCTCCATTTTGATTTTGCTAAACTAAATAACTGTTATTAGTTGAGCCAAGCAAAAGGAATCAGACGTCAAGACTTTGATAGCTTGCTTAAATGTCTGTTCTTCGCACGGGTCTAGATGACATTACCAGTGGCAGAAATCACAGCGGAGCCAAATATGTTAACTTGTCCATGTGGATCAAATTTGGGCACACTGCCTCTTATCTTCAACTCCTCCTCACACTCCCCAGTCCTTTGTCAGAAAGTTCTTGTGCTAATGCGGTTGTAGCACTCCACATCTGTCATTGCTTGATGGAACCAACTCACCTTCCTCATCTATATACCTCAGTGCAAAATGAATTGTGAGAGAATCTGCCAGTTGAGTGTCAGAGCATCAGCTGTCTGCATTCCTAGTGTGGACTTTCACTTTAGTGCTCCCCAAAAAAGACAAATTAAATACTAGACTGGAATAGATTAAATATTGACCTTCATGTTATCTTTCTAAAGTCAGTCTAGCATTTTTGGTCTTTCTCATCTCAAACCCATGTTTTTCAAGTCTATAATTTGCCAACGAGGTTAGTTCTTATCACTTTAGATGTTAGTCCTCTCCCATAAATTAACAGCTCCTAATTTGAGTAGTTTTAAGCAATGAGAAGGTTCATTTTGAAGACCTACACAAAGCAGAACTTGGTTAATTTGTTTAACAAACACAGTTCGATCTTCCCTTTCCTCCTCTCCAATGAAAAACGAAGTTTTTCAAATACTAAATAAATTAGTATAAACATAGCTTTAAGTTTTAAATTATGAATGAAAATATATTTTGATCAAAATTTAGATTGAAATATTTTGCACAAATTTCAACCAACCAATTAGCTTGAGCAGTTTTTCACTGTACAGAGGATCCATTGAGACTTTTTTAAACAAAGCATTATATCATGGAAGAGGAATTGGTGCCTGTTATGTGGGTTCTTAACCCATTATGGCACACGTTTCGGTTGTTATTGCACCTTTTTATGGAGTTTTCTTGCTATCAAACTGGGTCAGCACTAAGCACAAGTTCTGCTTCTATTTAATGGGCATGTAGGGCCGTTGAGTGCTGACCTATGTATGACCAGTAATTTAAAAAAAAAAAAAAAAATCAATTTTAAAGTCATCTCTGCACCGGTTTTTTTTTCTGCTAGCAATTAGGAAATCTTGAGCCTTTGTGACAATTAGAGTATTTTTTGTTTTGCTCCCAGCACTATTATTGGTACCAATGGGTTCTCCAGTGGGAATCCTCCCTATCTAACGTGTTTGGAAAACGAGGACCAACGGAAGGATGCCAACCAGGTCAGACTGCACGTGAGGTATTCTGTGCCCACCCAGCAGTACCCTCACACCCGAATCTGCAGACGGAGGTGATTAGACCTTGCTTTGGCAGATAATTAGTGCATGTGGTGGCTCCTATTTCCATAAGAAACTGGGATACCCAACCCAATGGTACTATTCACATGT